AGCTCGGGCCGGCTGGGTGGAGCGGGTCGCCTGCCCTCCCGCTCAGGTTGGCGGCACCTGCTATTGAACGTCTGAGTGCTCCTGGTTTTGTCTCGCAAAACAATTGCCTCCAGATCCCGTGGAATTTAAGGAATCGTGCTTTTAAAGCCTGTATTAAATGTCATCCGTTTGACTCGGCATCAGGGGCTTTTAGGAAAGAGGTGCTGCTTAGTGACCCAAGTCACTGATGGGGCAGAAAAACTGCAGGGTTACAGGTTTGTTTTCCGCCCAAAGAAAAAGGACAAAACTATTATTAATGACAAATGCTTCTTATTATTCTCAGCGACGCAGCCTGGCCCTCTGCGGACCCAGATTGAGAACACAGCTGCTACCAGCGGAGCCAGGACCTGCTGATGGGACACAAATTACATGGCCAGAATTTAAGACTGAAGACATTCCTGAAAGAAAAATAAGGTATTGCTTGGACTATGACATACGATATTGCTGCAAATTTTGGATATGATGCATTAAACATAGACCCTTCTCCCAGGCTACTCAAACGAGAGAGATGAGAATTAGCAACAGGACAAAGCCAGCTACTAAAAAACAGCCCCTACCAATAACAAAAATCTTCATGGGTGACCTTCCTCAGAAATAAATTTAATCTCGCGGTAGTTACTGCTGATGGGTACTCCTTAACTCAAACATGATTAGCAAGACTTTTTTTTAAAAGGGTGGAAGAACGTATTTTGGACAGTGTCAACTGCCAGATGATGATGAAACAAGACAACTAATTTCACTGAATAAATGGAGCTATCAAAGATAGGAACAGATCAAGCTCAACACCTGTTTGGGCTCTAATACCATTCCGGCTGAGGCCAGGGACAATTTTGCAGTGGAGTTTAACCAGGCCAAGGAGCGCTTCAGATGCTTCTGCAGTGAAAAGGTTTATGATCTTCCCAACTTTTTCCAAGGCCTGTTCCAACTTCATGCCAACCACAAAAGCCAAAGAGGCAGGTATGTGGAATAAACTTTCCAAAATCTTTTCCCTTTCTGAAAATAAAAGGCTTCTTGACCTGTTTATCAACCCAGAAACACAGAAAATGTATGCCTGTATCAAGGTCAGCACTTTCCGTAGACACTGACCCTTTGATATTTTCACAAGTGGCCACAGAACATAATACCTCAGGCTTTAAATAGCGCACTGCTCAAAACTGGCATGGAGGCCAAAACTAGCTCAAAGAAATGGCTGTGCTCTCAGAAAAAGGCGCTGTCCTGCTAAAGCACAAGAATGACCATTCCCAGGCAGACAGAGGTCCAACAGCAACACATGCTTTGGTGAACGGCACCAGCTCCATCCGACTAGTCACTCAGATTCCAGTAATTTGTGGTTCAGAAACACCACGACCTAACACCTGGACCCTCATCTTTGTGGTTCACGCAGAGTACGGTTACTAATCTGTCCGACCACTTTTTTGAAAACCTATTTGCGTTTTTGACCTTCACAAATATCCTGCAACAGGGAGTGCCACCACTGATTTACGCAATGCTTACGCCTACTAAATCCAGAGGTTTGGGGGTGACGTTTGAGGGTTTTTTGTTGTACATCATGCCTGAAGAATTGCACGGTGCTCCTGGTGTTGCTTTTACTGAAAACCTGCCTGCAGTGGGGACTTGTGCCTTTTCGAGCTTCAGTAAGCGTTTGAGAAAGACTCTTGAGGGTGGTTCCTCAGCAAAGGCAATGTTTTAGCCCTGCTTTGAACTGAATTTTAAAAATAAGAAGAAAAAAGTGTTCTGTCCGTTTTGTTCTTCATTTTGTTAACACCTATGGAGAGCAGGATAATAAGCAACTTCAGTGAGATCTTAGGATTTGTCCCCAGAGTGTATTCAGGTGTTAGCTCGGTGAACCAAAATGAGCAGGGTTAAGCGCAGACCATATTTTTGGTACCTACGATGCTCACGTGTACATTTCTAAATAGCTGCAATTATTTTGCTTACAAAGCATCTTACTTTCCGTAACAGCGACCTAGCAAAAGGCGATGCTTTGAAAAAAATTCCCTTCGGCAGATAGAGAACAGGAACAAACAGCTGAGGTCAGGAGAGGATCAGAACGTCTTAAGATCATAAGCCAGTTATTGTTTTCAGAAACAGACTCAAGTAGACTGATTTTTGTTAGCTTTGTTCAAGTTTTACCCACTCTAATTCTGCCTATTTTTAAAATAACTATCTCCAAAAGCTGAGATTGTCTGGAAAGTATTAATGCCCCATTTAAGAGGAAAAAGGAAGAGTAAAGCTTTGATCTCTTAGTTGCTGGGCTTCTTCTGTCCTGAAGATACTGCCAAATATCATCATGAACAGCACCCACCAGCTCTGCGGGAATACCAGTCCCATGGACTTGCACTGCTAACCAGTGCTGCCCTGGCTTTTAGTCCTGACACACAAAGGACTGAGCAAAGTGAAACGTGGAAAACGGCTTTGTGTCTTACGTTCACATTCCTCTACGTCCAGGTTGAACTGCTGTAAGGCCCCCAGCGTCAGCTGCCGCACTTCGGCTTCCAGCAGCAGCTGCATCAGCGACGTGGAGAGGTGTTTGCACGCTGACATGCACGCGGTCTGCGCCACCTTGCCCTGCAAAACCAAAGAGAGCTTATTAAGGACACCAAGCACCAAATGCAGGACAAGTTGCTTCCGATCAGGACTCTCCAGTCACCCTCTTCAACATATCCCATTCGCTACTAGACAGTCACGTGGTGCTCAGTGTTGCAACGGTCCTTTTTAAAGGGAATCATCTTTTAGGACTCTGAATTCCTACCGGCAGAATTAGACCTTGCAAGGCGCAGAACACCTGGGCGCAGCTCAATTCCAGGCAGACCAAGGGCGTTTAGAGCATGAGGCATCTCTCATCAACGTGCCCTAAAGGGGAAAAAGCTACAATATACCCTATTTTATTTAACATCCTGCACAGAGCTCGTCTGCAGAAACCTTGCTGATAGATTATAAATCAAAACAGCATCGCCAGCTGCCAGGCAGCACTACAAACACTACATGAAAACGGAGACTACCTCTATTCCAAGGCAGGAATTTCAAAATCCCTTCCCAACAGTGGAGGCTCTTATTCCAGACAGGGGGGTTTTAGGCTTGACTCCACCCTGGCATAAAGGTGAATCCAGTCGGGTCTCTAGCACATCCGATGCTCACTCCTGGTGCTGTGCAGCACTTTCAGGACTCAAACAGGCAATGAGAGAAAGGAACAGCAAAGCAACCTGGTACCTGCACAAGTTGTGTTCACACTGGTGCAATTACACCATGTCAAAACACTTGCTATTTAAACACCAAGGTTAGAGAACAAGATAAAGGGTAATCTGTTGTTCTTATCTTTACCAGAAAACGTAACAGTTTGCAAGTGTTTCAATGTAATCTTTATCAGCTACTTATACCCCTTGAAACCTTTATATCCATCATGGAAGTATGAATAGTTATTAGTTTCAGCTACTAAGGAAACTTGAGAAAACTGTCAGTAAATATTTATTTTTAACGCATTTTCTCTAGGCTACATCAATTACATTTGGAGGAGATTCCACTTATAAATCATGAGAACAGTTTGCAGCAAGAGGAGTTACTCTGGCTAAGCCTTCAATTTTCAGATCGCAAGGCAGGAGAAGAGTAAACATGACAAACCATCTACTCCATGCACATGCTTAAATTGCTGAACTATAAAATCTGAAACAGCCCATTTTCAGACGCGACGCTTGACAAGCTGCAAAATCAGCACATCCAAAAGAAGGCACCTTGTCTGGGGACAGAAATCATTTTCAACAGGTTTCAAAGCAAAACTAACGAGAACTGAAAGACTAAGCATCGTTGACCTGAACAGTCGGTGTCGCGCATGCAAAATCAACATCTTCCTCAGCCAACGTACCTGCTCTCAGCATGGATCTTTGGAGCGTGCCTGTTTGCAGCAATGACAACTTTGCAAAGAAACCTGTTGCATTCCCATAGTTGGCCCAGGCACGTGCCATTGGTTCCGACAGCGTCACTTGCCTTGCAGAATCTTTTAATTATTTTTGGAACGGAAAAGGTTTTTACTCTAAGACAAAAACTGCCACAACACGTGACCAAGAGAGCAGGGGCTTTGCTCATTCAACAGGGAAAAGGAAGAACTGACCTGTCAGATATGAAGCCCAGGAAGTCCCTGAAGGATTATGATGTTCAGAGAAGAACAACGTTAGGGAAACGGATGATGGCGAGGGGCAGGGAGCGATTAAGGGAGGGGATAAGCTGTCCCAGCTGAAAGCTAGAACTGTGTCCAAAATCCACTATTTCCTTAGAAAGGCCGTAAGAAGGTCACTGAGACCCAGATCCCGCTCACCTCTGCTAAAGGACCAGCCATCGGGCAGCTGCTGTGAGAAGAGAGGAAAGCTGACGAGTACAGACATAAAGACCGACACCCTCCACAAAGAGCTACTGCTTCTCCATCCTCTTGAGATGCTACGAGACCACAGAGCTGGGAAAGGTCTTTCTGTGAGCAAAAGGGATTTCCCCACCCTCTGAATCACTGCCCGGCCTAAGTGACGGGCGCCCAAGGGGTGCCAACTTTGCAAACGGGAGCTGTGGCCGATGGCTCTTCTTTTCGTGGCACACATCCTCTCTGCCTTGAACGGAACCGTGCTTTCTCACACTTCAGCCTTTTTCCTTTTTGGAAATGGTTTCTGTTCTATTATACCGTACCAGTTACCTAAATGCCATCAAAAAATGGTGGAGTTCAAGATTTGGGTAATATGCTTCCATGCACAACATGAGCACGGAATATGTATTATGCCCACAAAAACGTGTAAATCATTTGGTATGAGAGTACGGACTCACACAAAACCATGGGCCAATGTTGCACGGAACGATCTGGCTCTCTGCATATACAACCCTACAATAATATTTCTAGGTAATGGGGTTAACATGACAGCAGCCAAGAGATTCATCCGGAGATTACGCTTGCACATGCACACGAAAGAATTTAACAAGCTTTCCTGAAAACAAGAGTGGCTTATGAGATCTCACCAATTTTTACAAGTGCCTTGCAAAATTGTGTTTAGACCTGGATTAAAGCGGGGATTTTCCTCAGTGCTCCAGCTAAGTACCAGAAGTGTCGTTACCATGGCACGGACAGATGAGCGAATGTTTGACCCGTGTACTAGGAAATGTTCTTACCAGCTCCACAAAGTTGTTTTGAATCTATAGCAATATTCATCGGCAGATGTAGGAAACATTTCTCTTTTATAAAAAACAGACCCAGGCATTACGGGGAAAGGCACTTCATCTCCTGCTGCTTCCTGCAGTTCCCAGCCTCCAGAAGCATCCATTCCTCACTTCCAAACAAATAGCCGTGTTAAAATTAAGATGAAACATGACAACCACGAAGCTTAGTCGAGACACAGGTTTTTACATTTCATCATTTACTTGTGCTGCTTTGACACATTTGGTTATTTCAAACACTGCTCAGGCCAATTCCTGCTCTCCAAACGCAGTGGTAAGCACACTACTATTTGGACTGTGATTTTTCTTCATTACTCCAAACAGTCACACTTGAGGTTTTTGTCATGCTGGGGCAGTTCAGGCACATTACTGAGCAGCAGGCTCAGTCCCGGCGCAAACAGGAAGGCGCAGACGGGAAAGGAAGGGCGCAGCAAAGCCACGTGCTGGGCAGCAGAGCAGAGGGGACAGCATGTGTGAAGCCCTCTCTGCTCTCCATGTCACCCAGGACCTGCTCCATAATTTCATTCCAGCTTTGGAAGATCAGCTATAGCCTGAGCAGTCCAATCTATATTGCACATTGGAACAGCAGAGTACCCTGGGGCTTACTCACCCCAACCATCACCCCTTTGGTGGTGTCCTCAGGTTCCCCTCAAGGCTGACAGAGACACTGGTCTGGAGATGGGCCTCCACCAAATCACTTCTGTCCTTTGAGGAAAAGGGAGGGAGCGCGGGCAGCCAAAATAGGCCACCTGAGCTAGTGATATCAGGCTAAAACTGGGCAACGCAAATGAGAAAGGCCTCTTCTGCATCCACTGCTCTCCTGCTCTCCTTCATTAAGGACACAGGAGATTATAATAGAGCATTAAAATACAGGAAAGTAAAAGCTGATACTTGATACCTAAAGAGTAAGATCCAGCTGGCTTGCAAATCAGACTGCCCTTTAAGGGCTCAAGCTCTTCCTATAAGAGCACAAAGATCTTTAAGGAGCAGCCCGGTGCTGTGATCTCCTTCTCACATACGGGACACTGGTGAAGCATGGCGATTTTGAGCTTACACAAAGCCAAGCTGCAGGACGAGCTCTGCAGATGCCTGGTGGCAGAGCACCTCACTCCATAGCGCACCCTGGACTGGGTGCTCTCAAGCACAACGTCAGGGTTTGAGCTCTCCAAACCTATCCAGCCTGAAGAGCTGGGCACGCTCGGTCCACAGCATCGTCCTTGGAGACTTTGCTAGCAAGATCGTCTTGTTGGCAGTGCCACACCAACACCACCGTTTTCCGTGAAAAGCGACAGCTCCAGGCTTGGCGTTGAGCTTCAGACTCTCTGTTAAAAAAAAAAAAGCTGATGCTTTCGGGGTACAGGACACAGGGATGTCGTGGCTTTGCAGGCTGCAACCAGGGCCCTGCAGGGCTTCCACCAACGTGCTCCACTGAGTACAAGGCTTTCAATCCAGCCAATGACGCCAACATCTCTATTTGCAGCTTCGTAGCTGCTCTCCAGCTATCAAGGCCAACTCAGCAGAGGCCGATGTTTTGAGACATGCAAGTGAAGCCCAAAGGGGACTTTAACCTCTTTATGCTTTATGTATACTTTTCTCCCACTCTGCAGAGTATGAGGAAATCTGGAAAACCCACAGGAAAGGTTCCTGTTGATGAGGATCGAAGAGGAACACCCTCACACACCCGAGCAAGGGTCGGATCAGGAGCCACGAAGGTGCAGAAAGGGTTACCCACGCTTAACGCAAGTGTGGCCAACATGCCTGCACCGGGGAACGCATTCCTCTGGCCAGCCTGAATAAAGAGTGAATGACAAGCAGCACTGGGAGGGCGTGAAGAAGAGCAAATAATTGAGATGAAATGTCAAGTTAATAACCCGAACATAGGCAGGACAGGATGGAAAGGTAATTTAATTATCATGCTTTGACAGCACAACAGCTTCTCTGCTGAGCCTTCGCAGCGAAAGCTTCTTGCGAATTTCAGAAGCAGCACTTTCTGAAACTCCTGGCAAGTATTTTCTACCACATCTCACTGAAGAGACGAGAAAGGGAATCCAGCAGATACACAAACATGGGAGCAGCTTCTGGCAAAGTCTTCCCTCCTCCTGCCTTTTTTGGATAGTATTTAGCTATGTCCAAAACTTTTTTCAGGTGCAAAGTGTGCTGCTTCTTTGGAATCACTGGATTTGAATCTTTTCATACCAGCTGAGAATTTGACCTTTTATTTCCATTATTCTTAAGGCTTAAACACCCAAAAAACATTTTGTTTTAAACAAGAGTCAGTTTTTAATTGTAAATTTAAGTATATACAAAACATTTTCGGCCTCATGAATATTCTCAGTGCAACAGACGCCCATCCGCAGCAGCACCGTATAAGGCCAGTTCGT